CCTTGATAGGAGTGTAAATGGAGACATGTCTGTTTATTTATTTGTATTCCCATTAGTTTCCTGCATAGCAGGAGCCACTCTGTTTGGTGTCCACAATTTTAATCTAAATGTTGTCATTTCGTACACAACAAGCCAAGAAGCAGCAGAAATCTTTGCAGCTTTACATTTATACTGTTAATAGGGGTGGAGGAAAATTGATACTGTGTAGTATTGTGATATTTTGTTTGCTAATAATGTATCGATACAGGGACAGCAGAAATCGATATTTTGTTACAAAAAAAGTTTTCGTGGACTGGAACATGCTCTGACTTCATGTTCCTTTTTCTGAGCAAGAATCCTGACATTTCTTCACTGTCCAAATGTGTTTAACTTTTTTTTTGGCAGAAATAAACATGACAGTTTACTTATTTTAATTTAAGAAATGTTTTATTTGAATTAAGTTTAAAACTTTTTTATTTAATGTAAAATTATATTTTGTTTTAATTTACTTTCAAATTCTTCAGTTGCTGAAGGAATGAGAGAAAGACTGAGTGTGAGACTTTGATATTAGATAAAATGAATATTGATAAAGTTTACCTTTATGTACAGAATCTGAATATCGCAAAATATTTTTAAAAAATTGCAATAATATCGTATCGTGCGTTAAGTATTGTGATAATATCGTATCGTGCGTTAAGTATTGTGATAATATCGTATCGTGGGATGTATGGTGATTCCCACCTCTAAGTGTTAACTAAGGCATGTTTGTAGGCATTTCTTAAAAAGTGGAGATTTTAGCTATAATTCCTTTATTATGTGAGGCAGTTGCTCTGAAAGTATGTGGATTTTACTTTTTGCTGTTTGGTTGAGGAATTATTAAATTGAGTAATTAATAGGGGGTTTTCTGCTGGTCAGAAAATAAGGGTTAGGGTTAGGTGTATAATTTGCTTGGTCATCTTTGTCTCCAGCTTCCCTCGGCTGTGTTGAAAGTACCTTACTCTTCTGAAAGGCCTCTCAGTCCAAATCTGTGTTTTTTCTGGCCATATGTAAAAACAAACTAATTATTTTAAGGGTTTTTGGTTTATGAATTGAGTAAAATTCCTATACCTCCTACTGTAGTGTAAAATTATGTCTTGGCCTATGCTTCATTGCACCGTTGCGTCTCAGTTTGACATCAAGATTCTTGTTTGTGCTATCAATAATGGTTTGCAAATGAAATGTGAAAGATTGGCAAATTAAATAATGCTCGACACAATGTTTGTTTTCTCTTCCTTCGAGCTCTCTATTAAGAGCCGTGCCAGTCGATGGTGATTGTTATCTGACAATGCCGTATGTCTTAGTTAACTCCTGCAGGAGTGCTCTGCAACAAAGGAAACTAATACACATCTGTGTCACTTTTCCAGCGCTAAAGAGGTGTAAAAAGTGATTTTCTAAACATAATCTCGTTCCTTACTATACCTCTGCATAATATATCTGTCACATTTTCTGTGAAAAATAACAATATGAAGAGATTTTTTTAGGATATAATGTTCACATCTGTAATTACAGTGTGGCTTTAAATCTCTGTTTTGTGGGAGATCTAATTTATATGTCAGTTGCTGCAGAATATTGTCACAGGATATGCCACACAAATTGTAATGCATTATTATCAAACTGAAAGACTGCTTACTTAATGATGGGCAATCTTTAGCATAAAATGCTCTATTTTTTGTTTTTTAAATTTCCCCATAATGGTGCATTTTTTTATTTTGCTGTGTCTGTTTTGAATAGTTGGTCTGCACTCAGTGTACTCATAGAAAGCATTAACAACATGTCCTAATTAACTTTTAGCTTAGCTATTCAAGGGTTCATATTTGCATACTCTACATGGCCCAAGTTGCTGAGTAGTGCTTTGTTCTTGTTAATTAAATGATATAAAACCTTCCAGATACCACCCCCCCCCCTACACACACACACACACACACAGAAACCAAAATTTCAAAAAGACAAGCAGATTATGCTTTACATTAAAGGGGGGAATGCCAAGGCCTTCCTTGGCCAGGCGAGAGATATAATCTCTCCGGCGTGTCCTGGGTCTGCCCTAGGGCTTCCTCCCGGTGGGACATGACCAGAACACCTCACCCAGGAGGCGCCCAGGAGGCATCTTTGTCAGATGCCCGTACCACCTCAACTGGCTCCTTTCGATGTGGAGGAGCAGAGCCTCTACTATGAGCCCCTCTTGTATAGCCGAACTCCTCACACTATCTCTAAGGGAGAGGCCAGCCACCCTTCGGAGGAAGCTCATTTCCACTGCTTGTATCTGTGATCTCATTCTTTCGGTCACTACACACAGCCTGTGATCATAGGTGAGGGTAGGGACGTAGCTCGACTGGTAAATTGAGAGCTTCGCTTTTACACTCAGCTCTCTCTTTACCACGATGGACTGATACAGCGTCCGAATCACAGCAGCCATAGCACCAATCCGTCGTCGATCTCCCGCTCCCTTCTCCTGTCACTCATAAACAAGACCCTGAGGTGCTTAACCCCCCACCCCCACCCCCCCACCCCAAAAGCATGCAAAGTAACATCATTAAAGTGAAATATACACTCACCGGCCACTTTATTTGATGTACCTTGTTAGTACTTGGTTGTCCCCACTTTTACTTTCAGCATTTCTTTAATTCCATATGACATAGATTCACTGTTATAAAGGTGTTTCCACCTTTATAACAGTGTGGTCATAAGGGTATGGACATGGTCAACAACGATACTCAGGTAGGCGGTGGGGTTTAAACAATGCACAGTTACTACTAAGGGGTCCAAAGTGTGCAAAGAAAACATCCCCTGCACCACACAAAGCAGGGTGCTTTAATTTGTTTGCACACAATTTTGACCCCACTATCTGAATGTCATAGCAGAAATCAAGACTCAGTGCTTATCCAGTCACTCATATTGTCTAATTTTTGGAATTTTAATCCTATTTAATCCTATTGTAGCCTCAGCCTCAGCTCTCTCTTCACCACGACAGAGCGATAGTTCTTAGCTGACCGGAGTGGCACCTGGTGTGATTTTCTGCTGCTGTAGCCCATCTTTGTCAAGGTTTGATAGCCTGTCTGGCACCAACAACAATGCCACCTTCAAAGTGAAAGAAATTACCTTTCTTTCTTATTCTAATGCTCAGTTTGAACTTAGGTAAGCTGTCTTGATAATGTGCACATGCCCAAATGCATTGAGTTGCTGCCATGTGATTGGATAATTAGACTGTTAATTTGCATTAATGAGCAGCTGAACAGGTGTACCAAATAAAGTGGCCAGTGAGTGTACACAATTTAGTGAACACAATTAGTAAAAAGCATTAAAATGTGCCTGTGTTTGTGTGTGTGTGTGTGTGTGTGCAGTCTTTGCAGCGTCCTGTGTTTGCATGCACGTGTAAACATAATGAATAGACTGACAAACAAAATCTCTGGAAACCAGTTTGTCTTGCAGAACCATGAGATCCATTACACCTGCCAGTGCCGCACCTTATTTATGCTCTATTATCCAAGGTGTGACTGCTTCTCGAAAGAACACACAGCAAATACTCACTATTTGTTTTGCTTTGATTTTCTTGGCTGTATGATAGTGTCTTGTTCCTTTTTTTCTGAGGGTGCGCCACTGTCAGTCTGTTATATCTGGTTTTTCAGGAACATCAGTTTCTTTTCTTTTTTTCACAAAGTGTCTCATAGGTTAGTGATTTGACTGTAATATACAACAGTATATAGCTTCTCAGAACTATACTCAGAAATCTCTTCAGTGCACACATAAAGAAGGTGTGCAACCAAAATCTTTACCACCGTGATCCACCATTCAAGGGTGGTTGGTCTTTACTGTGTTATGAAAAACCCATCATTTACTGTCTCCAGTTGTTTCATCTGTTATTCTTTAATGTGTTTTAGCAGTGAATTTGAAATGTGATAAAACTGTGCTTAACAGGGCAGACTGTAGGCTCTAGAAATTATTAATGGCAACTACCCAATTTTAATATTGCACAATTTTCCACAATCTGTTGCTATCAGCACAGCTGCACTTCTTACCATCTGCCACCTTAACACGTTTTTGTTTATTTAATTCTAAAGTAGGGGTGTGTGATATGATTTTGGAATGATTGGGACTGAATTCAGGACATCGTGACAACTTTCCTGGTAAAGCAGATCAATCATACCTTTTACTGCATCACAGAAACACAGAACATAAACCAGCAATGTGTTATCAGAGTATTAATACAAAACTATTTCATAATTTTCTTTCTAGACTAAAGCTTGTTAAAAGAAAAGAGCAATGTTGTATTGTGAAATAGGACCAGGAAGCGTTCAGCAACTGTGAAAAGGTAGTTGTGTAAGAGAAGTAGAAGAGCGAGGTGAAAAGTAGTAAGTGCTTATCATAACAAAAATAAGCAACCTTTTGTGCTGTGATGGCTCTACGGAAGAAAAATGCGTCAGGTAGTAAATTATGTCATCATTGGGAAGTGGCTAATGTTGCATGAATTGTGCAGCTAAATTAATAGATAGTCTTAGAAGAATGAACAACAGCATTTCATAGATAGTTCTGTGATAGAGTGCAATGTGATCGAACTGTTTGCATGCAAGTTCTCGTTTCAAACACTTTGCTGTGTTAAGTGACACATGCAAATAATAGTCTACTTCCTCTTTAGGGTCAGTTTTCTGGTTAGCGAAGATTATGCCAGTTGGTGCACTTCTTCATTTTCTACGAGAGGAAAAAGAGAGAGAGAGATGCAATAATTTCTCTGTAGTTTCTTTTTATAAATGTTTGCTACAATTCTAATAATTTTTTTACATTTTTTAGCTAAGGTTTTGTTTTCCCTATCCCCTTTCTTTTTGATGTTTCTGATGAAGGCAAAGGAAAAAGTAAAGCTCAAAGTTTTGCAGTGAAAAATATCTGTCTTATGATACGTTCTCCCCCTGTGATCGCTTTAAGTCAAGCAGAACATTGCCCTTAAGTGCCGTTGTAGTGACTGACCAGACTTTAAACTTGTGTCTTCTCAGGTGCTGAACCCTGCCTGCTCAAACACCGTGACTCCAAACTGACAGACAGGGGGGAAAAGTGGACAGATAAACCAATAGGAGGCCAAAGGAGGGTGAGTGAGTAGTCTGTATACTGTACCTCTGTAGGCTGTCTTGAACTCTGTTTCACACTGTAGTTTAAAGTGTTGCTACTGCTATAGTTGGGTGGCTCAGTGTTGACAGTTTAGACCAGTAATTCTGAAAGCAAGACAAGCCCTGTAGCAAAGAGACTGATGCACTGAGCCCACTGAGGCCAAAACTAAGTCTGTTCGTGTTTTCTGTTACCCTTCTCAAGATTAGTGCTTTCATCAGAGGCTGTTCAAAAGAAATGACGGTTTCATACTTAAGTAATATAGACACGGCTTTATTTTGTGCTGAATTTTACCTAGAAAACGACCAAAGAAGGAATTTTTTTTGGCCAAAAGAGGAAAAGAGACAGATGTTCAGCAACGCTTTGGGAACTATTCGGTAAAAAGAATTCCATCATAAATCTGCTAAATAGAAACAGTTCCCCCATCAGCATACAAAAGGTTTTAAAGAGGGGCCGAATTTGCTTGTGAGTGAACAGATGGAATCCGGTCAAATTCAAGATTTACATCTTAATTGGAATTTTTGTACCTTGTGTGTGTGTGTGTGTGTGTGTGTGTGTGTGTGTGTGTGTGTGTGTGTGTGTGTGTGTGTGTGCGTGCGCGTACACGCAAGTCTGATTTTGATTTATGGGTACACATAAACGGGTATCACACATTTATGTGTTTTTCCACTTCCCTATAATACATGTATTTTTGCTAGCTTGTACAATATGTTCCCCCAGTTAACAGTCTGTGTACCTACTATGTTGTTAAAACATCTGCTTACTCATCAATGCAATTTATTGATGGGTTGACAGATGTATTTGTTGGCCAACTGTTTACATAGTTGACTGACAAAATAAAATTACTAGCAATATGAATTTGCTGCTTTCCTTTTCTTTTCTTTGTTTGTTTGCTTTTTAACCTTCAAACCTGTTGGAAAAGTATACATATACCTGAAGATCTGCTCCTCTGTCTCTGTGTATATCTCATACACTCCCAACCGTCTGTAGAAGTTTTTGTACATTACAACTTATCCTGATATTATCTGAGAAAAATGAGTGCCTCATCTTCATTTGTGGTTTCATTTTCATTGTGGTCTCACACTGACAATGAATTTAAGTTAGACATATTTACTGATCACAGTGGATCAGGGGCTGTGGTCCTAGTGGTTGCCGGGTTCACTCTGCTTTGGTAAACTGCCTACTTATGTATGTAAAGTAGCTTTTATGCAGTTCACCCAGCGGTCTTCCCCACTATCATCTCAGTGGGACTGTTTTGGGGTCTGCGTGTGTGTGTTTATGTGTAAATAATTGATTGCTATAGAGGTTTTAGTGGATTGCTGGTGAGACTGAACCAGGCAAAAGAAAAACACGCTTGACTGCTTTCCTTCACAGTGTGAGTAACATAACTTTACCATGTGTGCTTGCTCGCTGGGATGTTGAGTTGGGGAGCTTGTCAGTGTTCTGTGAGTAGATTTAGTTTGTGTTAATGGTGCTGCAGACATTAGTCCTTAAATCACAAATTAACATCATTTTTGAGCCACACTAAGATGCCACACATACTGTTAGAACCCAACCAATATATTTGATATATTGACTAATATTTGCTATTTGCCAATATCTTCTTATCAACATTTAAATGAAAATATAAAAAGTAAAGACAAGATAGGAGAAAGACCCTTTGACCAAGTGTAGATGTTGCATAGTTTGTCCACACTCTGCAACTTCCCTGTCTAGACTTTTTTTAGCCTGCTGCTTACAACATTCAGTCTTTTTTTCCATTTTATATCTCAGCATCAGGGATAGCTGTGGATAGTCATGTTGTCCACAGCTGTCACAAGTCAGACTCAAGGTCAATATAGCATATTGAGGATTTTCAAAAATTTGTTTGTTTTTTTGACTAAAGGGGTAAAAAAATAATTTGTTTGTTATTTTCTTTGTTTGTTTTTGCTTTTTAATGTAAACATCAATGTCACTATGACCTTGTAACATTTTGCTGAAAGCAATATCTCAGGAACATGTAGATGAAATTTTATTCTGTTTTCGCACAAACAGTAAACCTAATTTGCTGGTCAAAGGTGAAGACCACGGTTATCTGAATACATATATTATATGAGTAAACGTAAACTGCAGTTTCACTGGTTGGCAGAGGTATACCACAAGGCAGAGAGTTTAGTCTCTGCTTCTTTCTTTATCTTTCTCAGTCTTTTACCAAGGGTCTTTCTCCTATGCTGGCTTGTTCTTCTTTGCCATCCCTTCTTTCTTTCTTTCTTGCCCCTTAGCCGCAGTGTCCTTGAGAAAGCAGTGACTTTGCCGGTGAGTGTAGCAGAGCGCATCACTCTCTCTCTTTCTCTCTCTCTTAGACTCTCTCTCTCTGACTCTAACTCAACACCCTTGCACACAAACGCACCGACACACACACGCAAACATTTGGTGGGTCCATAACACAACTGTCAAGCAGGACCACACTGTAAAAGTCTCTTCCCTTTATACCCCATGAATAATTCATCATCACTAACATTGGCTATATGGCTTTATGCAAATGTCGACAAACCTATTGCAGAGGAAAAACGGAGACAGTTGTGTTTTGTATCGAGCCAACCTTTTGCCAATTTACTTCTCTTTCAGGAAAAGATAGTAAATGATCAGCAAACTGCTGATACAACCAAAAGTTGTCATTTGTAGTCAACAGTAATATAAAATGTTGTGATGATGATCAGTAACTGAGCTGCTGTTGAATTCGCTTGGTTTCATAATATGACGCTTTACAAAATTGGATTTATTGCTGAAGTTCAATTACTCTTTCTGATGGTTTGTTACCGAATTCTTACAAATTGCCCTCAGTAGATACTGGAGTTTGGCTGCCAGCGTGGAAACACGATGCCTCTGTGCCCTCCCCCTCATTAAAACTGCCCTCCACTAATCTTGGATCATGACAGCCCATTGTTACAGTTTTCCGTAGCTCTTAAAATATGGATGGGGTCTGATTGTCTGCTTGTAAGATGAGATGTGATAGACTCTTGTTGCTGTTTGTTCTCGCTCTCTGTTTTCCATTTGTATTGGGTCACCGCTTTTTCCTGCCGCCTTGTGTGTTTTCTGTAGGGGATCGTGTATCTTGTGGATAAGTAGCTGCAGTCCTATATATGGAACATGAGATTTGCAACTTTATCTGCAATGTTTATTTATCCAATATTTGAGAGTCTGATTTAAATAATATTTACTGCAGTGTAATTTGCATATAGTCTGATTCTTCCTAGCAACATTACATATAGGTTCATTTGAGTAGCTCATGATAGTATCTCATTGCCGCCATGTTATCATTCATTCACTCCTTGTCTACGTGTGTCTTGTTCACACTTCCTTATGTCACACATACGGCTGAAAATGCTTCCGTAGCCATGGTGAGCAATCCCAATGGGAAAAGTTGAGCCTGAATCGCTTTCTCACTCTCTTTCCTTCCTTTGTCTAATGCCTTGGTGCAGTTTAATGCTTTCGACACATGCGCACACTTGCACACAGATGAGCAGGTCTGAATCTAAAAGCAGAGAAGATGCAGATTTTTGGTCACATGTTGTTTTAATTCATTTGACCAAGAAGTTGTTAAAAAAAAACAACAGACAGAGCGTGAGGATGGTTTTCTCTGCTGCCTGCTTTCCTTCTTGTTAGCGACCATGACCGTGGTGGCTGGACATTTGGCTGTGAAATACTTGCGCAAGAGTCTGCTTGAGAAAAAGGCTCTTTTCTCCAACAAAGCGCATTGGACAGATAAACACCTTCACCTGTTGGACCAGCAGAATGTCAGTCTTCTAACTTTGTAAATTGTAAAACAGCAGCAGTGCAGCAAAACGACACATTTAAGTTCAAGTGACAAAGCCCTCTAGCAGCAAAAGTAGCCATGACAGAAGGAAAGAAGGAAGTCAGAGTTGTCACAATACTACAGTTTCAAACTCGATACCGACACCCAGGAAAATACTCGGATCTTGATACCATTTTTGTGACAAAAAACAACAAAATCAAGAGTCATGTAAATGTATTCACATATAGCCCTGTTTATTCCCAGTGCTTCTGGTGATTTAGAACCGTATTTGTGGTGTTGATAAACTAGAGTTGTTAAGTTCGGCTGCCACTCTTTCAGTATAGTGCTGTTAGACTTTTCTCACCTTCAAGGGGATTTTTTTAGGCGCACATGCAAAAAAAACATGTTATCTTGTAAAATTAGCACCGTCTGTTAATGTTACAGACAGCCAGGACTGGCAATGTTTGCTGCCTAGCTCCGACACTAACATTATTCATTATTGTTTTATTGTTAGTCACAGCTGCTAGATCAGGGATGTCAAATATTACGTCCAGGGGCCAGAATCGACCCGGCAAAGACTCCAATCTGGCTTGCTGGAAGGCTTTGGAAAATGTGGGAAGAAGAACTCTATTTTTGGACTTTTAACTTCATTTTCACAAGTTTTGGAGCTTTTCCTTCACCAAAGTAATTAAATTATAGATAAATCTGTAATTCTCCACATTACTTCTTGCAATTTAAGCCCAAAGTCATCCTGACAGACTTCTTTAATTTACTACAGCAGCATTTCTTTATCAGCATTTCTTTATCTCTGCGTTATATTAAGATATCTCATTGATTAAATGCACAGTTAAACTTTTTACACTGACAGAATGGGAAGTATCATCAGTCTGGCCCACATAAAGTCAAAGTGGGGTCTATGTGGCCTGTGATATAAGTTTGACATTCCCGTGCTAGATACTGCTTTAATAATAACTTAATGGACAGCTATAATTGCTAATAGTTAAATGGTTAACGTTGGTGTGTGCCGAGTTAATATTTATAATAACTGTTTAATACAGTATGCCAATGCTGTTGAAACAGGAACTTTATTGACCTCTCATGATTCCTCATAAAGCTGAGCTGTCAGTCTTCAAGATGCACGCCAAGTTTGTTGTGCTACTGCTCACGCGTTCACATTTTCAGAGTTTTGGTATTGAAAGGTACAGTTA